CTGGGGGCTTCCTGAAGCTCCTTGTGGTCTGAAAACTGAAGAAACCCTCAGGCCGTGCTGCCCGGGCAGAGCTCCTCTCCCAGGGAGGGGATGGGGGGATGCCAGCGTGAAGGACACGGGGAAGGGACTGAGCCATGCACCAGAGGAGCTGGTTGATAAGGTGCCCAAGGAGGAGCCTCCTGCCTCAAAAGACCCTTTGGAGACGTGTTGGTCAAAGCTGAGGACACACAACGTTGTCCCCAGTCAGCGTGTGGGGAGGAATGTCCCCAGCTGCTTGCTGGAATGACCTCGGTGGCTAAATTCAGTCCTGGTACCTTCCCTGGTCTCAGCACAGCCCCAATCAGCTGATGGCCCAACTGAGGACTCTGTGACCAAGGAAACCTCCCCACCACCACCTCCTTCCTGATATTTCCCTCAGCATCTGCTCTCTGGGGACAGCTCACCAGGGGGACTTTGAGCTGTTAGATGTTCCTCTCGGCTCTGGCTCCTGCTCAGGCCCTGGGCACTCAGCTCTGGTGGGAAGTGGGGAAGAAAGGGAGGGAGAGGATGGATCAACGACCTGAAGGAGCACCAGCCTGACATGGGAGCTCAGAACTCCTCCCTGGGCTCCCTCAGCCTCTGGGCACTTCAGGGCTTGAAGCAGGGTGGTGGCTCCTCAAGCCAGCAGCTGGCAGAGGGGGCCCAGAGCAGCCCTGGGGAGTGGAGCCCTGTGCCCTCTGCTCCCCTCTGCCCTCCCCGGGGGGTGCTGCAGAGCCCGGGGTGGCCGCTCAGCCCCCGGCTGTCTGGCAGAGGAGCTCACGTGAGGGAGTGTCACAGGACCCCGGGTGCTGCCCAGAGCCGCAGGAAACCAGCCCTGCTCCTGCCTTGCCTTAACCCCCAGCAGCTCGGTGAAGGAGAACGTTGTTTTCTCCTCCTCAGCAGCCCCTGTTTGCTCCCTGCCCCCCGTGCTGCCTCCCACATCGCCGAGGGAAGCACGACCCTCCCTCCATCCTGGGGGAAACTGAGGCACGGGGGTATCACGAAGCTCCTGCACCCAGCCCATGTGAAGCCCAACCAGCATCTCCTGGCTCCAAACCCTCTGAGCTTTGCTGGTCCCCTGCAGATGGGACCTGGTGCTCGGAGGGGCCACTCCCATCCCCATCCCACCTGCCTGGCCGAGTCTGAACTGCAGCTGAAACCTCTGGAGCCACGACAGGGAGGTCAGAGAACGACCCCCAGCGAGGGGATGGGGCTGGAGGGCATCGCCATGACCCCCCCCCCCCCCCCGCCGGCGCGC